AGTGAGAGGGAGTGTATATGAGGTTAGGTAGTGAATTAGAGGCAGGCTATGCATACTTGCATAGAGGTTTGCATACTTGGTCAAGGAGCAATGGACCAACTTAGGATATAGTCATCCAGTGTGTCAAGTTAGCACCCGAGAGAGGATGAGTACTGGAGGGTTGTTGAGTTTGGTTCCCAGTATCTGTCTTGTGACACTCAACACCAGCTCTAGGGAATCCAAAATCCTCTAAGACTCCTGTACTTGTGTGCACATAGCAATGGTAGACACATGCATATTCAACTGGGAAAAAAATGAGGGACTGCTCCATAGGACCCCCAAAGATGGTTGCACTGTGATGAGAAGGTAAGGAGGTGGAGGTTGAACTGCAGTCAAGCTTCAGTTCATCCTGCGGGCTTTGGTGAATGATGGATTGGTGGACACGGAAAAGAACAGTGCAAGATGACCATTCCTCAGGGCGTTAGCACAAGCATGTGTGTGGAGATTTTAATTTAGTCCCTGAGTTAATCTTAAGTAACTTGGTTCATTGAGAGTGTGGAAAGTTCTAGGTGATATAGGAAGAGCTGTGAAGTATCATTAGATAGCGCCCCAGCCCGTGAAGCTCTATCTGTTTTCTGTGTGAGTACTTGCCTACACATCTGTATGTGATACATGCGTGCCTGGTGCCGGAGGAGGCCAGAGGGGGTGCTGGGATCTTTGGAGCTGGAGTTATAGATGGCTGTGAGCTACCACATGAGAGCTAGGAGCTGAAGGCTGGTCTCTGTAAGAGCAGTACCTGTATCTGGCCTGAGAGTACATTAGTATGGACCCAAGTGTGTCAAGCTGTGTGTGTGAAGTCAGTTCTCTCCTTCTGCTATGTAGTTCCTAGGTATGCACCTTAGGTTGTCAGCAAGCAATTTCACCAATGAACTGTGTGGCTGCCTGTGATAGCTTTTAAAAATGCTATCAAATGAATGTTATCAAATGGGCTGGAGAGATGGCTCAGTGGTTAAGAGCACTGACTGTTCTTCCAAAGGTCCTGAGTTCAATTCCCAGCAACCACATGGTGGCTCATAACCATCTATAATGAGATCTGAGTGGCGTTGTACTCACATACATAAAATAAATAAATAAACCTTAAAAAAAAAGAATGTTATCAAATGAATCTGAGAAAGCCATACTGTTTAAACATGTGTTCTCTAACTGTAGCAAAGGGCAGTAGCTAAGATACCGTGTAACACCTAGGATTGGATATACTGAGCTCTCACTTCTCCTTCCCCGTGCTTATTGATTATTGGGATTTTTAATCCATTTGGTGGCAAGCTTTTGGGTTTTGCTCCTTTTTTTTCTTTTTGTAAGTTAAGATGAAGAAGGAAAGATGAAATCATTTTAAGAGCAGTATGTAATTGAGGCTGACTTTGTTGGAAGTAGATGAATTTTCTGGGGAGATAATCTTTAAAAAATGACATATAAGGAAAAGAAGTGATTTAGCAAAGTGCCTCTTTATAAAACACAATAGTGAAAACTGCCTGGTGTAGGACTATTTTTTTTCAATCATATACATAAATTAAGAGACTTGGTTTTGTCTAAGGCTTTGTCTCCACCAACTCATACTGAAATCTGGGAACTAGGTACATGACTTTGCACTTAATATTGCCCTAAGCGCTAAAGGACTTTTCAAAATTCTAGGGCACTGTGGATGGAGCAAGGTAAGGTGTTTATTTAAAATCTAATTTGGAGGGGCAGTGGGAGATGGCTTAGTTGGTAAAGGGGTTGCCCCATTGCCCAGGTAAAAAGGCAACGCATAGGCTGTCAGGGTAAGAGGTCGGGAGGACCAGAGTTAAATCGTGTCTTCTGGACATCTCAGGACTGACGCACTCAGGAACACCAGCAGCTACATTGCTCACACTGAATCTCTAGTCATTTGTATTAAATCAAGGCAGTCAGCATCCTATCAGGAACTGGGAAAGGGTTCATGAGCCCTCGCCACTAACCGAGAAGGTGTGGACAGTTGATGAATTCTGAGGGAGAGTCAGTCAGTTTCCTTAATAGACGTGCCTCCTGATAGGTCCACCATGCCTGGTGTGTGGCCCCATACTTTATGGACAGCACAAATTGGAATTCATGAAATTTAAGAAAAAAAGGAAAAGAAAAGAGGACAGTTAGTTGGGAGTAGGGAGGTCAGGGTAGGTCTGGGAATAAAGAGAACAGTTAGATGTGAATATAATCAGAATAAATGAGGGTTGGCTGTTCTTCTAGAGGACCCTGGTTCAATTCCCAGCACTGGCAGCTCACAACCAACTGCCTGGCTGAACTCCAATATTATCAGGCATGCACTTGGCACAAAGACTTGCTGTCTTAGTTAGGGTTTTACTGCTGTGAACAGACACCATTATCAAGGCTACTCTTATACAAACAACATTTAGTTGGGGCTGGCTTACAGGTTCAGAGATTCAGTCCAGTATCATCAAGGTGGGAACATGACAGTGGGCAGGCATGGTGCAGGAGGAGCTGAGAGTTCTACAGCTTCATGTGAAGGCTGCTAGCAGAATACTGAGTTCCAGGCAGTTAGGATGAGGGTGTTAAAGGCACACCCACAGTGACACACCTACTCCAACAAGGCCACACCTCCTAATAGTGCCACTCCCTGGGCCAAGCGTATACAAACCATCACACTTGCATACCGGCAGAACATCAATACTCATAAAATAAATAAATAAAATTTAAAAAGTACATTGTATGAAATTCTCCAAGAATTAATAAAAAATTTAAAAACCTACCTTAACTTGGTGATACGTGCTTACAGTGTCAATACTAGAAAAGGCATAGGCAGGTGGATCTTTTCTGGTCACTGGCCAGACAGCTTAGTCTAATGGGTGAGCTGCAGGCCAACAGCATACCCTGTTTAAAAGATGATAACATTCATGGCACAACCAGGGAGATCTCTCTCTCATCTTCTCTCTCTCTCTCTCTCTCTCTCTCTCTCTCTCTCTCTCTCTCTCATGCGCGCGCACACACACACCACACACACACACACACACACACTCACACTCACTTTAGGAATGAGTGTATTAACTTTGGCAATTTAAAGGCCTTCAAATTGTACTGAGCCGGGAGATCCCTGAGCCAGGGAGAGGAGGGGTGCATAGGGGAAGGCACTATATATGCAAGTGAATTGATTTTCCTTATTCACCCATTCCTTTTAAAGGCGGGAACACAGAAACAATAGGATACTCTTCCTTCTTGCAAAATGCCCTCTTTTGTACTCCAGATGGACGTTTTCTCCTTGGGCAGTGACAGGGCACAGTTTGACATAGTTCAGCCCTGAGAAGAACAGCTTCTTTCTGAGTTCTTGTCAGGCCTTCTCCAGCAGAACACACAGTGAAGTGTCTATTGCTGTGATTAGCACCCCTTACCTCACTCAGGGCTTCTCTTTGCAAAGGAATCTTGTGAAATTGTAGATTCCCATAGGCCTTCTGATAGTGGCACAGCTTCCCAAGAGTTGCAGAGTTTTATCCTTAAACCCTAGTGATTTCTAGAACGAAACCTTCTGCTGCAGGTTGCTCCTTCTTGGGGTAGCCTTTTAGTTTATAACTGAGGGTGTGTGTGTGTGTGTGTGTGTGTGTGTGTGTGTATGTGTCTGTCTGTCTGTCTTTTTCAATACTGGAAACTGAGGCTACAGTGTCCCCTTTTACTTTTTATTTCCAGACAGTGTATCACTAAATTTCCCAGGCTGGCCTTGAACTCACTGTCACTCGGACAGGCCTTGGACTTGTGATCTTCTGGCCTCTGTCCCCTGCGTGGCTAGTCACACGCCTGTAGCACCAGGCCTGGCTAGGTAGTTAAGGGTTTTCCTTCTCATTACTTAACTGTGTCTCCTTGTATCCTACGATGTTTTGTCTTGTCCTGTTGTACACACCTGCTTCCTGTCCTCACAAAGTCCCCAGGGCGTGGGGACATCATTGTTTCTTTCTCTTCTTCTACTCCAGTTTCTGTCCATATTTGAGCCCTGGGAAGAAGGGCTTGTACCACTCTTTCTCAGGCTGAGATGCAAAGGGCTGCAGACTGTAGCGGCTCGTACTGGTGTTGAAATGGCTGGATGGTTAGGAGACTGCAGATGGCAAGAGCGAGCCGAGCTCACATCGATGATCTCTGTCATAACCCTTTGCCATTGACTAACCTCAGCAGGTTGTGTACTTCGCATTTTACTATGTTCCTCTGTGAGAATTGTGACTTCTCACTAAGAACCAGAGTGCTTGTGTCTGGCCAGGCCCTGGGCAGGTGCTCTTTGCAGGAATGATGCTAACTAAATCCTTTCAACACACAGTCCTTGCTGACAGCTCATGATGGTGGTCGTGTTGCATGCGGTTCTTCTAAAGGACCTGCATTCTGGTCACTATACCCACATTAGGTGGCTCAAAGCTGCTAGTAAATACAGCTCTAGGGTGTCTATCTGGTGACTTTTTCTGACACACACACGCACACGTACACGCGCACACACACAAAATAAAAGTCAGAGAAAAAAATTTTTAAAATAAAACCCCAGCCAGATTATGGTAGTGTACATACGCCTTTACTCCCAGAACTTGGGAGGCAGAGGCAGGCAGATCTCTGAGATCAAGGCTACCCTGGTCAACAAGTGAGTTCCAGGATAGCCAGGGCTAGGCAGAAGAACCCTGTCTTTAAAACAAGCAGCCAACCAGAGAGGAATTCATGAAGGGACCCGGCTCAGCACAGACAGCAGTTCCTACAGCTGGGTGCAGGGAGTCTTTATTCCTGCCGTGTTCTCTTCAGGGTCAGCTGTCCTAACAGAAGCACAGTTCATAGTTTGCTCAAGGCAGCTTTTGGTCATAGCTTGCTCAAGGCAGCTTTGGGGGGGAGTGGCTGAAGCCTGCAAAACATGGCAGATCCTGTTGCCTGTCTGATGGCTTGAGTGGCTGGAAGATGGACCAGCCAGTCTGGTGTTGGCCTTTCTGCAGCAGCCTCCTGATGTAACTCCATCCCACCCTTCGGTGTTCTAGGTGAGATGAGCGAGAGCCGAGCTAAGAGAGTTCGAATAAAAGAGGTGGACGGCTGGACCCTGAGGATGCTGATTGATTATGTCTACACGGCAGAGATCCAGGTCACGGAGGAGAACGTACAGGTAAGGCCCACACGTCATGATGTGACATGATGCCGCTCTGCCCTTTCCGATCCAAAACCGCATTCCCACACAGCATGCTGTTTGTGCCAAAGTAAAAAGATTCATTGTAGAAATTTTATTTCTGAGAGGCACTTGGGATGATTGCGTCTCTTTAATGGCATTTCTGATTTCCGTACCTTTTACATCTTTGCAGATCTGAGACACATCCTTTCTCTGAGTAATGCTTTTTTACTTTGTGGCAACACTGTCATTCTCTATAATTCCTGCTTCGTGCAGCCCACAGTTTTTCTTTATTCCTTTGAAGAATAAAGTCTACAAAGGATGTCTTTTGACTACTAACATTCTCTAATTCTTTATTATTTGGGTATTCTCTTTAAATAAGTCTGGACTTTAGTCAAAATTTGATGTAGCGCATGTTATTTTCTGTGGAGAACAAATGTTTTATAGACGCTTGTTAAATAAATGTTTAAATGTTTTAGGTGGCATAGAAGGATGTTGCAGACAAACACAAAAAGGAAAGTCTCTTCTTAAACTGGCCTGTGCTCGCTAAATGAGAATGGTCCCATAGGCTCATGTAGGTGAATACTTAGTCTCCGGTGGGTGGAACTATTTGAAAAGATTAGAAGGATTAGGAGGTCTGCCCTTGTTGGAGGAAGTATTTCATTGGAGTTTCAAAAACCCAAGCCAGGCCCAGTGGCATTCTCTCAGCCTGAAGATCAGGATGTAGGTCTCAGCTTCTTTTCCAGCATTGTGTCTGCCTTCATGTCACCCGCATTGTGACGATAACAGACTAAACCCCTGAACCTGTGCACAAGCCCCAGTTAAGTGCTTTCTTTTATAACAGTTGGCATGCTACTCATTGTCTTCGTTAGGGTTTTACTGCTGTGAACAGACACTATGACCTTATAAGGACAACATTTAATTGAGGTTGGATTACAGGCTCAGAGGTTCGATCCATTATCATCAAGGCAGGAGCATGGCAGCATCCAGGCAGGCATGCTGCAGGAGGAGCTGAGAGTTCTACATCTTCATCTGAAGGTTGCTAGCAGAATACTGGCTTCCAGGCAGCTAGGATGAAGGTCTTATAACCCATGCCCACAGTGGCACACCTACTCCAACAAGGCCATACCTAGTAATGCCACTCCCTTGGCCAAGCATATTCAAACCTTCACACTCATGGTGTATCTTCACAGCAATAGAACGGAGACTAGGACAGGCCTTTCTCTGTGATTCTCCTTGCCCCCATTCTCATATTCTCTTTCCTGAGAAGGATAGCTGCTGTTCTTTGATTGAGACGGGTCCTTTCAGCCCATTACCCATTCACTGATTCAAGTAAGTGAGTACAGGACAGGCCTGCACAGAAGTGCAATGTTGAGTATGTTTCCTCTGTATTTGTCTGGAGACTTTGCTTTTTTGTTTTTTGTTTTTTTTTTCACTGAACAGAATGGCTTGTTCTTTTGTATGGTGTCTCATATGGTAATGGGTATGCATAACGTTCCACTTTTATGGATTGCTGCACTGAACTGGCATCTTAATCTTTGTATGCAAGAGTTCTACAGGCTGGACTCCTGAAAGTAGAGTTGGCTGAGCAAAGACTACATGCACCTTTTAATTCTGGGTGGAGATGCCCTATCAACGTTTAAATGTTGGTATTTTATATAGTCCTTTCAGTATGTGTACTGTGTTTTAAGGGCACCGAAGAGAACTTAGAGCTTTTTTATAAAAGATTTAATTCATCTGTCAGTGTTTGTGTGAGTCTGTGCCACAAGTGCTTGTGATCCCTGGAGCTGGACTTCCAGGTGCTTGTGAGGTACTCAACACAGGTGTCAAGAACCAAGCTTTGGTTTTCTGGAAGAATAAGCAAGCACTCTTAACTGCTGAGTCATCTCTTCAGCCCCTAGAACCAAACTCTTAAGAAACAGTTTCTAAATTCTACTTGTACAAATTAAGATATGAGTTTCATGTTTTGAGTTTCATGTTTTGTACCTCTGAGCAGCTGGAATGTGCTACCTCATGTTTGAGTGGAGCCTGTAGCATGTCACATGCTCTCTGCTTGCTGTGAAACGCCAGCTCGAGGACGCTCAGCCTCCTGGGGGCCCTTTTAACTCTCCTCTTAACTTCGCTGGAAATTTTCCTGTATGAGGTAGAATGTTAGAAAGATGCACCATCAGTTTAAGAGTTGTGACTAAGGGTGATCGGGTCATATGCTTAAAGAACTATCTATCTATCTATCTATCTATCTATCTATCTATCTATCTATCTATCTATCTATCTATCTAATCTGTGAGCATGCATGCCATAGTAAACATGTAGACTTCAGAGAACAACCTTGGGCATCATTTCTTACCTCTGACTCTGTTGTTCCTCATTACCTCAGGTTAGCTGGCCAGCAAGTTTCTAGGAAGTCTCCTGTCTCTGCTGTAAGGACTCCAAGATTACAAAAGCATACTACTATACTTGGCTTTATATGGGTTCTGGGGATTTGAACCCAAGTCTTTATGCTTGCATAGCCACCACTTTACTCACTAAGCCATCCTCTAAAGTTCAGGTGAATGTTTGTTTTAGTGTGAAAGAATGTATTGCGTTATGTCAGGAAATGAGAGAAGGTCGCAACATGTCAGACTTCTAGACTTTTCTGTATACTTAAACTGTTGTTGGGCTCTAGAGGCATTGTTTTCAATAAGACAGTACCTTGTGTTGTTGTGCTTTTCCTTATCGATGTGCATGATGTCATTATACTCCATACCTAGCAAATAGATCGCAGAATTCTCTGACACATAATGGCCACGTGGAGGGAACCTGCCAACCATGTGCGGGCCCGAGAGTCTAAGCGTGAGTCCAGTCCTTCCTGTCATTTGTAGCAGTTCTTATAGTAGGAACATTGTCTGTTAGGAGTGAGGACGCCGCTAAGGTTCCTTTTAATAACTGTCACATTCCAGCCTTAATACATTAGTCATGGACTTTGAGAAGAGCCACTTGTCATGATGGCTGGCCTTCTGTGTGCATTGCTCAGTTGCTATAGTACACTCTAAGAGTTGCACTGGGAGACCTGGTGCCATTCCATATAGCTTTTCTTTAGAGGGGAAGGGGTATCTCTTTAGCTTAGGGGTATCCTGGTTTATAAAATCCTTACAACCCACTGAAAAGGCCATGTCTTGGAAGGACATTTGGAAATAAAAGTCATGAAAGCAAGCCTTCCTTTTGATAACAAGTAGTTTTCAGTGAACCCTGGAATAAGGCTTTATAGATGAATGTGTGTCAAACTTCTGTTCACTGTGTTTTGATTATTTTTGTCTGTCCAGCCCAGTGTGTTCTAAGGAAAGGGGCAGTGCAGTGGGGGTGTCTGGTGGTCTCAGGACGGTTACGCTGAAGGAGTAAGTGGTTACGTGGTGAGACAGCTGAGCACTGTGTTCTAGTGAGGAGAATCCTAGTGTCTCTGGGATTGTGTGTTTCACAGAAGACTCTCAGTGCTTTAGGATGCTGTGTGCCAGCTGTCTTCCAGTCAGCTTTTTACCATGTTTTTCCTGACTTCTAGCTTGAGTTCCCTTCCCCACTGTCTCCCTATTGTACACACTTAAGGCACCATGATAGCTATTTGAGGTGAAGGCTGTTAACTGAGTCAGAATGAGGGAATGAGTAATTTGAAGATTTCACTCCAAAGAAGGAAGACTCTCTTCTCTGTTATATAAGCAATAGGGCTATTTCAAGATTCCGTGATTGTGGTTCCCCCTCCCCAGCCCCACCTAGTATTACTGTGTTTTTTGTTTTTTATTTTGTTTGTTTTGTTTTGCTTTGTTTTTGGAGGTGGTGTTAGATATTTTAAAGCTTTAGCTTGGCAATTTTGTTTCCTATATTTCAAAGTTGGCAAATAATTTGAGCTAAATGAACTTGCAGTAATTTGGATTTTTAAGGAGAGAGTAAAGGGAAACAACATTTCACCTTGCTTCAGTTCCTGCCTTCCTTCTAACTGACTGGAATGTGCTATACCAAATGTCTGCATGTGGAGACTCCTTCTTTAGCAGACTTTATAAATATTACAAATATAGGGAATAAAGACAACAAGCCTGCAGCCTGCTGTTAGGCAGGCTTTTAAACATCTGCCAGTCACAGACACCTCAGAGCCTCTAAGCTTCTCCCAAGGGTAGTGCAGGAGAACATTCATGAACTTTTGTACACTTTCAAAAGGTCCGCGGAGGCTTTGCACCTTCCTCTCTGCTTTAAGGACTCTCAGCAAGGCAAGCATTGTGGCGCATGCCTGTGACGTGACATAGGATACATGGCTGCGGTACTAGTAGAGCAGTTCTCAACCTTCCTAATGCGGGGACCCTTTGATTCAGTTCCTGATGTTGTAGGGACTCCCAGTCGGAAGACAATTTTCTTACCACTTCATAGCTGTAATTTTGTTACTGTTACAAATTGTCATGGAAGTATCTGATATGCAAGATATCTGATATGCAACCCCCAGGTTGAGACCTGCTGCAGAAGGGAGGCTAAATGGGAGGGTCATGAGTTCAAGGTTTCCGAGGGGCGAGGGGGACCCTGCAGGGGTCAGTGTGGACAATGATCCGAGAAGTGATGAGAAGGAAAACCTTGTTTAGATTGACTGCATCAACTTGAACCAGACTTCAAGGAGTCCAGCGCTCCTTGAAGTTCGTTGTGAGCATATTTAAAACAGTAAACACGGGGAAAAGATTCCAGGTAACAGCCATTCCTATTCCAGGTGTGCAAAAAAGCCTAAGGTGTGACTACTCAGAAACTCCTCTACAAAGTGCATGTGACCACGCAGCCTTCTATAGCTCAGAGGCATAGAATCGTTGTGACCAGGATATCATAGAGGTCATCAGCCCATAAAGTACACATGACATCTCCTCTAAGGATGAGTCTAACTGGGAACTAAAGATAAGATCTAGGAAGTGTTGGTGTTCAGGAGTAGCCCACAAACCACATAAACACCAATCTCAGTCAGACAGGGATGGTTTAGTGAACACTCACCCTAAGAC